TTGAATATCCCATAATTTTGTAGTATGGCAATTGTATCCGACAGATCTTCCTAGACAGTGACGGCTGTGGTTGCTGCCACTCTAGTGGTGATAAAAACATGTCTGTAGGTTAATGTAAAGCTATATTTTATAAGGAGAAAAAACATGCATACACTAATAGCAGCATCCCTTTGTGCAATTTCACCCTTGTCGGCGCAAGAGTGCCGCCCGCCGGCGCCGGCGCTCGCGGCGTAATGTGCGCGTGCGCAGGTAGAGCTGGACACATACTGAGAGTGTCTAATGCAACTGTCCCACCTATTGTGTATGATGATAAGGTTTCTCTTGTGCTTTTAAATATATGTTTTTATTTTAAGATAAAAATACTTCTTGGTTTTTGCCATTCTTTAGGGAACCTTCTAACATAGAAACTAGTGATGTGCGACGCAATTACTTAACACAGGTGCTACCAAAGCAGACTTTGACTTTGTATTCTTAACTATAATCTAAAATTGGTAAGAATCATCGTTCATCACTGTGTCGAGTAAATGCATAGACTTGCTGACAAGACTAGACACGAATCATCTATTTCAATAATGAATAATTACAAATTAATTAAGAAGAAAAAAATTTATATAATTAATAATTACTAAAGCAAAAACATAACAATCTAAATGACAGCTTATGCTAAACTGTGCGACCACCATGGACTTATCTAACAAACAGAAATAGTTGGGTTTCTAGTTCGATAAAATAAAGTTTTTATTAAAGTGGACAATGTACAACAAATGGCTGCTCTTAAGGTTGGTTCCACGGCAATTTGTTACGGTGCCTGCGCAGCGCCGTCGAACGCATGGTCACACACTGGCTGCGCAGACGTCGTCCTGCGTTGTTCCACGCCAATTATCCTGGCTGATTCATCATTTCATTGTTCGGTATATAATGAGGTGACTTAATGAGGCTCTCCTTTAGATGCATGGTTTCATTCTACCTACTACAGGTTTTAGTAGGTGAATCATCAATTTATTGAATTTGTTATGCCTAGGTATTTTTGAGTACGCTATTAGATGGTCCAAACTAGCAATCTAGCTAAATCTGATAACTATTGTACGAAACGACTTACTTTTTAGGCTTTTGACTTACTTAACTACCCTTAAACAGAACATTTGTGTACGAACCTTATTTTTTCTATTTCTTGCATTAACTGTTAAGAAGTTAGTGAACCGTTTCAACTAAATTAAACATCTCTTTAACCTGGAAATTTCAATTAGAACCCGGACACGAGTAACCTGGATTGGGCGTGATTTATCACCTGAACAGCTCGCCTTATACGAATGAATAGATGCGCATGAGTCGACTGCTTGTATGGAATTAGATCTAAAACAGGATAACAAGAAGCCGTTGATCCTTCGTTTCTAGGGACGTGAGTTTGCATCCCGTTAATTTACTAATAGTTAGGTAAGTAGTTAGATAGGAACATCATTGTGTTTCACAGTAAATATTATATTTATTGCGTCATGTCGCAGTCGCAAGTAAACATTGCGTACTAACTACCTAATCTTCGAGTTATGATGAGAAATTAATAAATGATTCAACGTAATCGTTTTCCAAAGCGTAACTAGATGAAAATGGTAATTACTGAAAAGAAGAAATACTAAAATAATTACCTCATCCGACAGCCCTATTCCCTGCTCGTGGGGTGAGGGCATTCCTTCCCGTAGCCATCGCTCATCACATTCTACATGCGATGGGGTCCGTAGTCGATGTGTTGAGACCTCTTCTATGTTTTATTATTTCCGATTAATGTAGCATAACTGAGGTTCATAATTATTATGATATGAACCTACCGGAATTCCTCATCCTTTAAGCAAATATTATCCATTAAATAGTACGTACTCAATATTGATGAAGTTGTGTTGTAGGCGGTCACAGTTATCTGAGTAATGCAATAATATGTCATCAAGTGGAATACTATCGAGAGCAAGATACAAGTTATTGTGTTTATACAATTCACTTCACTCGCCGTAGCAAATGGAATCTCTCGACACGTCGGCATTTTATCGTACCGTTTCTACATCGGTCGTCCCCATCAGTCCGTCTGGAGTGTCCCCACAAAAACGCGACTCCTGCCCATATTTGGTGAGGTCTAATGAGCTTAATGGAGCTCAGAGGGCCGGAGGACATCGCGCTCCCACGGAACAGCCGTCTTTTTACATTGCACTCCTTTTTCGAGGATAACTATCCATTTTGAGGAGTCGTTTTGTAATTTATGCGATCGATGTTTCTTCTTCATTATTCATCGCGGTGCTTGTATCTAGTAGTTGAGTACATGTACTAGAGATAGTTAAATATTAGTATGAGTTGGGGGCCTGGTGATAAAATACTTATTTCTAATACAACTAAATGTGCCGTCACGATTCATGGCACAATATAAAACTTGGGTGTTTTAACAGTTCCCTTGGAAAATAATTACAGTTCGTGCCTATCCATGAATGTGTGAATTAATAACTAACTATAATATTGCTGTACAATGGGATTGGCAGTAAAGGTAGTATGCGCGTGCAGGTGTCGCGGCTCGGTCAAAGCAAGTTGTGCGTATATTTCAGTGCTTACTGAATTCCATTGGCGTCTCTAGTTGTGATGGCGGAGGTCAGTGAAAGGTCGCCGGATATTGATGTATGGTTGAAGAGAAAACGAGCGGGTTCTTACACATTCATGGAAACGAATTCATTACACAACTTTCTGGAGCTCACAGTCACAAGGTCTCATGTTATATTATCAGTCAAGCAATAAGTTAAGTACTACAATGAACATACTAATTGTGAAATGAATAGAAATTTTTGTAACGTTCCTTTTGGTGCTGGATCTGAATATTCTTCTCAGATGTGATATTGTGTCTGAAAAATTAGTAGTTATATAATAAAATGAAGATTTTATTCCGTCCTAGATTAGAGTTTGGCCGAAGATCTAAAGTAGCTGAATATTATTAAACAAATGGTCCGAAAACGTGCGAATGAACTAAAAGTGCTATAAAACCGTATCAAGGATCACGACGGCTGACGTCACAGGCGGCTGCGCCTGCGCCTATCTCTGCACTTGCAATGCCAATTAGTCGTCCGAGTGTCTGTCTCGACGCTTCACGAATGCAAATCCAGCCAGTGACTGATATCAATGCTCATTTGAATAAAACCTTCTTGTGTACTAGATAGACGAGGAAAAAACACAAAACTTAAAGAAAGGGAACTTATATGTATACTTATGTAGCTTGTGATGCAGCTTATACTACTGAATATGTACTAACTACAAATTTTGAGAGTATTTACTACCCACGTATTGACTGCACGGTTGGCGCGGTTGTCGCGGGTTTGATTCCCGCACGGAACAACTCTTTGTGTGATCCACAGATTATTGTTTCGGGTCTGGGTGTCATGTGTATGTGAACTTGTATGTTTGTAAACGCATCCACGACACAGGAAAAAATCCTAGTGTAGGGCAACGTTCATTAAAAAAAAATCAAATTATTACATATATACATAACCTTCCGCGTGTCTCCCATGGAGTAGACAGAGACTAAGGAACGTCAATTGCAACGATCCTTAAATACCTCCTTCGCTTCATCTACAGTTATCAGTCTTTACATAGCTACTCGTTAGTGTTTATTAGTCTATTTTAACGTCTCAGTAGACAAACAATTAAGGAATGGTTTACATTACAGAAATTCGCATAGTTACCTTAGTTATGGCCTCAACTACCACCCGGTGACTGTTTTTCAAAATGGAAAGGGCTTTTTAGTCATTAATATGGATGATGACAGGGTATGAAAATTAAAAATCTAATTAGTCCGTAAGTTAGGCAATAAAAAATACTAGACACGTATTTTTATATATTGTCGTAGATATAATAAAACAATACTTGGATAAAACGAATCAAAGTTTAGGAGTGGGGGTTAAAACGTCATTTCTAGAGGTACGTATAAAATGTACATAGAAGTGACGTCACGCGATATTTCAAATCAATATATCGTCGAAAGTATTCGTTTCCAAGAAAATAAAAAATACGTGTCTAATGATTTAAAATAATGTACCAGACGGACATTAAAATGAAAATTAGGCATCTACCGTATTATACCTAGTTCCAAATATTTTTTGATATTTATTTTCCGTCTGAAAAAGTCTGTGGCTTAGATTCTCACTCATCTCAGTTGGTAGCGCTGTGTAAACAAAGGGGGTGGGTAGTACTGTCAGCTACAAACAGATCACCTCATAATGTAAATGTTTAAGTTACGGCGCGTGCGCTGGTGTAATGAAAGCTGGTTCATTTATGTTTAGACTGACTGCCTAACTTATTCGTTCGGCAGCTCTGTTTTTTTATGGCATAAGCCGGTAATCGAGCAAACTGATCACCTGATGGTAAGCAATCGGCGTCGCCCATGAATACCTGGAACACCAAAGGCGTTACAAGTGCGTTACCGGCCTTTTGGGGATTAGGAGTTTGAGGATCGTTGGGGATTCAGGAATTGGGGAGATTGGGGAAGGGGAGGGTAATTGGGCCTCCGGTAACCTCACTCACACGACGAAACACAACGCAAGCGTTGCTTCACGTCGGTTTTCTGCTCGGCCGTGGTATCACTCCGGTCGAGCCGGCCATTCGTGCCGAAGCATGGCTCCACACTGTTTTATTGGTAATGATAATTTTCGATACAAAATTAAATGTTGTTTTCAAACATGGTGTTTTATGTGTTGTGTGTTGTGGTCTTATATATCGTAAATTAAGATAGAAGAAAGACAGACATTATTTTATTATAGATACATGTATCATTATAACTAACTAAATCGACAGTTGTTTAAACAAATTCAAATAGGTTATTAATTTAGGCGGTTGCTGTTACTTCTTTTTTATTATTTTATTTTTTATGAACTTTTGACCTCAGTTCACGCCAGTTCCATCTCTTACTGTACAGAATAAATGAATAAACTTAAAATCTGTAGGTCAGAAGATTAATTTATTGATATGTTTTGTGTCAGGTCGTGCCCTCTTGGACCGTCTGTCGAGTACGACAGTGAGTGAGGTAGTCTCCGCAGCAGGCAGTGGCTTGGTGCCGGCGCCGCTGGACGTGGCACCCTACTCCAACCTGGTGGCCAACGCCACCTGTGGTCACGCAGGCACCGAAGAGTACTGCCGCGACACACCAGGAAAGTAAGTTAAAAGAAACGTAGGAAAATTAATACATTCCCTTAAAGTTTTAAACGTTGTTTACGCTAACTTGACCAGCTATTGCGCGTGCGCATGTTCTATCTCAACAAGATTTTTGTTCTTTTCTTTTTATGTTTAAATTTTTGTTTCAAGTTACGTAGCCTACGTTCCCTATTGATGACCAGAAAGACAACTTAAAGCAGAATTTTTGAAAAATAGTTGTAGCATGCTAAAAGAACCTAATGTAAAGTTTGTGTGGCAGGCGTGGTGTGGTGTGCGACGTGTGTGAGGGTGAGGGTGGGTCTGCGTGGCGGCGGCACCCGGCTGCGCACGCGCACGACAACGACCCCGCCACCTGGTGGCAGAGCCCTACATTTGCGGCGGGTGACTACCAGCACGTCGAGCTGGTCTCCACTCTGCCAGATGTGAGTATTCTTTCATTTTCCGTGGCTTTATACACAGATAGTAGAAGTTGTATTATACAACCATTTCACGCGTTGCATAAATTTACCATTTACAAAAAATGTACAAAGTCGATCTTATAAATGACAGTGATTTCCGCCAGTAAACCCTTGGTGGACAGAACCGTCCAAGAAATATTATACTCACCCATTAAACATTGTATTTCGTACATTTTACTAAAGTAGGTAGGTAGTGTGCATGCGCATTATTTGTAAACGCACTCACTTCTTGCTGACTAGAACATGTTTCGGAATATGTTAAATGAAACAAAGATCAGTAATTAATAATTAACATTTATTAAAAAAATTAAGAATACACAAATATTAAAAGGGGCGATCCATATAGTCGATTACCCATTCCATAAGTACAAAAAATATATATTTTATATTAAGTAACATAACATTTAACCTCACGAATTTTATCCACGAAGGGGTAGGCAGTGCTACACATTACGGCACTTAATGCCACTGTACAAAATAACACCCACTATTCACTATTTTATGTTATGAATCCTATGTAATAAGGGGTGAGCCTATTGCCATATACCGTACACAATTCCAGACTCCGTGCTACTTCTGAAATTTTTTTTAAGTACTCGGCCAACGAGGCAATTTGTATTATATATTAGGTAAATATTTACCTCTAATTACTTTGACAGCTCAGATATGGTAGACTATAGAGCTAGCTATAATTTTTAATCAGAACATTCAGTTGTTTCGCAGAAAACTATAATAATATATTCTAAATCTATGTCGAAGACACGTGCGTGTATACATTCCCAAACTGCCTTATTCCTAACATTGGTAAACATAGGTATTTACAGCAAAGTATGCAGCATATACAGCTGTTACAGATTATGTAGTGGCATCCTCTATGTTTCTCCCAAAGGCGTACAAATGTATTATTTGAGTATAACATCGGCACATGCATGTTAAATTACACAATAATAAACGTCAAAATTAATAACGTAGGTATATAAAATCAAAATTAGTCAATATAGTAAATCAATCAGAAAGTATAAGGAGATATATAATTGCCACAGGTAGTAATTCTAGAATTGTCGTATAAATCTTTGAATGGAATAGTTAGTAGCATATGTCAGAATTCTTGATAATGTTATTTTGAAATTGTCCAAACTTAGCGTTATTATCTGTTCCGGTAATTTGTTATAGATTCTTTTGGCCATGCAGAAGGCACTTTTTTAAACAATGCTGTTTTCCCGTACGAAACTTCAAGTTCAGACTCATGTTCATCCCGTAGTTTTTTGTAGTAGCTTTTAGTCGCTGTAAGAGTTAAGAGTAAATTAAGTTAAGTGTTTTTAAACGTATAAAGAAAGGTTTGGTACCTTAAAGTGTCAAACACCAAGCGGTCACCGGTGACCGCAACCTATTGTTCTATAATTGTGTCTATAATGACGGTACTCGACGAGTTAATGCTAAATAATAATAGTTTTTTTCGAATATTGCAAACAAATTATCTCCTGAAGGTTAGTGCAATACAAAATAACTACCATGTAGCTGTAACCTTTCCACCAGTCGCACTCGCCGCTATTCGACTCCGAGGAAGTCGAATGTTACAAGTTTAGCCTGTTAATTTTCTGGAGTTCTAGCATAAAAACTGTGCAGAAATAATATTTCATTGATTTTTTCAGTATCCATTTCATTTTTGCGATCATTATAATCATCAACTTTGATGTGTTTATTCCAAATGTACTCTCCAGATACTGTTTCAACCGGTAGAGCGGTGGCAGGCATGCACAAATATTTCTGTGACATATCATACAACTCACTGTACCTAGGGCTATCTTTGTGGAGCTCCCAAAATTGGCAAGGATTTTCACCTCGATTTATGTGATCCAAGTCAAGGTATTGCTCTACCTTAAAACGCGAGCATAAAGAGTTCGCCGAGATCGTAGTTTCCAACTTGTCATCTAAATACTTTAGTAAACCACTGTCCTCTGTCTCTGTGTGGTTCACAGAATGCGCTGGGACTGCTCTCTGAGGATCTGGTGCAGAAGATGTAGAAGGAATGTCTGGATTAATAGTAACTTGATGGTTATCGTTTACACTCGATCTGTTATATTCTTCTATTTCCTTTATTACTTCATCTCGCACAGAACCAGCTTCTTTTGGATTTACAAAACATGCTACCTTAAATCTCGGATCCATGAATGTTGTCATGTGTTTAGTCCTTGGTGCAGTGGTTTCTTCGAGCCAAGTAGACACTGCTTCCAAAAAGGTCGTTCTCCACCGAATGGCCGCATTCGTTGTTAGAGAACATTCATTCAGTCGTGTTTTCAAACCAACCAAGATGGGGATGACGTAGGATAAACTCTGATATTGCTCACTTGACAACGTTTTGGTAAGATCTTCGAACAGTTTCAAAAGCTTAATAAATTCCTCATATTCTTCCTTCTCTTCTGAATCGATATCGTGTTTTTTAGCTGAATTTTGCAACATTAAGTATTGACTATGCCAAGAAAACGGATCTTTTTTCTTCTGATTATTTTGATTGATTGGTGTTTTTTTCTCTGTTTTTTTCTCTACCTCTTCAAGCAGTGGTTTTAAAATTTCTTGTATGGAGCTAGCTAAACATACATGGGACTTTATTTGCCATGGGTTTAGCTTTACAGTGATATTGCGGTGAGCAACAAAGAGTACGATTTTTTGAAAGACGTTCCATCGGACTAACTCATCTTTGATTAGTGTCAGTACGCTGTCGTCGCTCCTTATGTTAGCTTTTGTGAACAAACATTGGTTGATACGCTTTCCCTCGCGTATAAAATGTATGGTCACGGTGTACACGTTTTGGCCGCGCCTGCGGTCCTTCACTCCTATCTTCCAAGAGTTTATTGTGACTGCTAGGTATTTCACAGATTGCAATATTTCTTTTAATTTACTTTTTTCTTTTTCGTACTGTTCTGGAACAAGTTTCCCTAAGAACATTTTCACACTCGGCATCTGATAATTCGGGAATTCATATTTGAAAAAATTTTGCCAGCTTTTGTCATCTAATATATTGTAGGAAAACAAGCCTTCGCAGAACATTCTCACCAGTCTAGAATCCCTGTTGGCTTGTTCTTCAGAAATGTTGCTGGCACTCGAGCTTAGCAGTGGTCGTTTAGCAGGTGTTGCTCCCTCTCCAATTTCGTTTGTCATTTTTACGTATCTTGTACAAACTTCAAAGTTAATACACTATAACTTTATAACAAACTTAATCGTAAGTGCGTGCTTAACAATCTTAAACTTTAAATCGTTGTTATTAAACGTGCTGCAAGTATGGTGTGTCAGTGGCGACTAAAACCGCAAAACATTTGAATACAATCATTATAAATAACATTCAAAGATAAGTCGGAACACTTATTTAGGCTATGAACATACGAAGCGATTTTTGTTTGCAGCGTCGCACGCGGTGCAACCGCTAGAGATGTGAATTGTTATATTTCGGAACTCAGGAGTCTGTCAACTGATGAGGGATACTTGCTACATTAATTACACGTTTTATACGAATTTATCCCCGCGACCGCTCAGTCCCGATCGAAAACCGCTCAGTGAGTTGTCAGCCTAATCAGCCGATTAGGCTAACTTAGCCTATACATATTTATAATCTTATCATCGTCTATTGATAAAATAATTGATTAAACTGCATGGAAACTGAAATGTAATGGTAGAAAGAAGATTGTGGGAATCCTTATTATCAATAGGTAATAGTGAGTCACCCGGGAGCGGAAAAGTGCAGTCATTGCAGGATACAAATATAGTATCATTTCGCATTGTGTAGTTTTTACGCATCAAAATAATAATTTTATCATGACGCTGATACATTTATGTCATTGCCTATTTATCTATTTATCTAGATAAATGCCTATATAATAGATTTAATGGAATATGCAATAATTAACAATACCAATAAAAATGGCGGTACATGACCACCTGAGACACCCACAGCACCAGAAGTGTTACAAGTGCGTTGCCGGCATTCAACGCGGGGGCTACATACTCAGTGAAACATTTTCTGGGAGAGTGAAACAAGTGAAACAAGTGAAACAAGTGAGTGAAACAAGTGAAACAAGTGAATTTATTTCTGCAAATAGGCTACAAAGCAGCACTTTTACACGTCAATTTTATCAAGCGAACGATGAGGTCGGCATTTCCTAACTGACTACTCTGAGAAGAAATGCCGAAACAAACTCAGAGGTCTGTCTCTTTTAAAGTCCAGACAATATGTATAAAAGATTATGTGTGAGAACCGTGCAAGTTCTTTCTGTAGTGGCCTTTTGAGGAAAGAACCACAACAGTTTGAGCGGACCCGTTCTGAAGGCAGTACGCATGTGTCGGTTTACAGTCGGCTCAATTAACAGGTGAGGCTGACTGATTCGACGAACAATACCAACCTAAAGAACATTTGCGTGGGTCGCACAAATACTCAAACTGTCAGAATATGGGTAATTAGAAAAGAAATGGTGAGGCAAAGTCTCGCACGGTCCTAGCACTAACAATTGTAAAGGAAAAAGCAAATGTCAAGTTAGAACAATGTATGAAAAACAATGTCAAGAAATGTAACTATATGTTACAAACATGTCAACATGACCCGTGTGGACGTTACAGCAGCTTATTCCCAAGCCAGACTATCATCTAGGTAGTCTTTAATTTTATAAAAAGCTTTACTATAAAATTTATCTTTAATGGCATTTTTAAATTTATTTAGACTCAGATTTTGGATATGGCTGGGAATTTTATTGTAAAAGCGTATACTCTGACATCTAAACGAACCACTTATTTTCTTTAGTCTAGTAGTGGGAACAACATATTTGTCTTTATTTCTCGTGTTGATATTATGTATATCACTATGCTTTTTAAATAAATTTTTGTTTTTATGAGCATATACTACATTTTCATAAATGTATTGAGAGGCAACGGTCATTATATTAATTTCTTTAAATAGTTCCCTGAGAGAGTACCTCGGACTAAGATTATAAATTGATCGAATGGCCCTCTTCTGCAGAACAAAGATAGATTGAATGTCAGCAGCATTCCCCCATAGGAGAATACCATATGACATGACACTATGAAAATAATTTATTTAACAAAACAAGGACAAGTATACCTATTATTTAACAGAAAGCGATAATGAATACATAGAAATCACAATCACAATTGCAAGGTAGACCAAAAAATACTAGTTTATAATGTATACATACAAGTTAACAAAAGCAGTGGCATTTCTGTAGTATCAATAATACACAGCAACAGCAATCCTATAATACACCTTGCAAACAAAAGTAATTTAACTCAGTAATTCACAAGACATTAATAACTAAAGTATACTAATCGCGCTGTATCTACATCGGTTAACTTTCTAATTTTTTTAACAGCATATGCTGCAGAACTGAGCCTTTTCGATAACTTATCTATATGTGGACCCCATTGGAGCTTAGCGTCTAGGGTTATACCTAAAAAGACAGCAGAATCTACAGGGCTCAACTCCTCACCCTTAATGAGCACGCTGGTTTTAACATGTCCAACATGAGCGTGGTGCTACTCCAGTCGACCGTGCCCATTCGTGCCAAAGCATGGCTCTTCCACGTTAACTTTACTTTTATACGGGAATACTCTGTTGCGTTGTAAACAGAGGGCGTTACGTTTTAATTTTGTAATTATACTTAATTTATATCACTCATTCATTCTTTGAAAATTAAAAGATACAATATCTTTGTGTTTAGCGCCAAAGAGGCGAGAAAGAAATCAGAGAGCGCCTAGCAAGAATATTAATCAAAATTTCATTTAATGTATGTATTGCTATAATTATTTTAATAGGCGCGTTGTAGCGTTGTGTATTTGCTATATCCTACGTCGAATGTGTGCCCTATTCGACGTAGGACGGCGTGGCACGACACCACGGTTTCACAGGAATAGGGTGCCTGGGTGAGGCGGGAGGGAGTGACTTAAAGACTCTTACTGACTTAAAAACCACCCTGTTCCTTCTCCTGCACGTCGAGCCGGAGCCCCGGTTACCCGTTAGGTTCTCCGCGACGTTACAGGGGGTATATGGACGACACTGGTAACATTCCAGGTGATCGTCTCCTCGTTTCCCTTCATCCCATAAAAACGTTTAATGAGATTTTTTTAAACAGTGTGTTCAAACTGCATCTTTTATCTTTCCTTACATAAACTTGGAACAGGCTCCTAATAAATTGATGAAGAGAATCGCCTTAAACGGGTTAGTTATCAGGGATCCATAGAGTTAAGTGGTCTAACAAAAGAGTCGAGTTTAGTTATTAACTATAGTTTAGATCTGTATCGTAATCTTATCGTTGCACCGAAGGCGTAATGGAGGCTTGGCTGGGAGCCCAGTGTCATTGAGCCACTGATCATAAATCATGGTAGGACGGCACCGGCTCAAAATAAAACTATACTGCGCCCTTTAATGAGTACGTAATTATAAAAAGAAATTGCTCCACCATCTTCTATATCTTGCAACAGATTTATCAGGTAAGTACTGGTATCAAGTGACTGAGAAATTTATTCCCGGGTTGGTCAAGGCATTTATTGGGTGCTTTTACTGATTTTCCGTATTCTCTGTACCAACACGGAATCAGGTATTGTGGTCGGTGTGTAGCAATAAGTTTACGTCTTATTACCTGGGAATCATAACAAAACATAGCCAGAATCAAAATGCGTATCGCTAGCTACTCCTTCGTATGTTGGGGAATAAAAGACATGTTTTTTTATGGGACAAGCCGATATACGAGTAAACAAATCACCTGATCATAAGCAATCGGTACCCGCCATGGACACCCAAAATATCAGAGGCGTTCCAAGTGCGTTACCGGCCTTTAGGAATTTGAGGATGGTTGGAGATTTGGGGATTGGGGAGATTGGGGAGGATGATAATTGGGCCTCTAGTAACCTCACACACACGACGAAACACAACGAAAGCGTTGTTTCACATCGGTTTTCTGTGAGGCCGTGACATTACTGCGGTCGAACCGGCCCATTCGTGCCGAAGCATGGCTCTGCCTGACTTATTTGGTTTTATAGTGAATAATTGCTATTAGGCCTTACTGCCAAGTGCTTCTCCACGAAACATTAGATGTATTGTGTACACGGAGCAAGATAACGGGTATCCATCATACTGATCCGTCCGCAGTTATCTTGGTGCGACCTTCACGTTAAAATGCCTTCACAATATTTTAATTGATATAACATGTAATGAAATTAAACATAAAATATTTTTCTCTGAAGCAGTTTGCATTTAAAGGAGGTTCTTCGAGTAATAGATGAAAACCGCTTCGACCTGCTTGCTAGTCGATTGACCGCAAACCTCGATCCTGGCCATTTATTTTTGAATTTTGATTTTCGAACTGCTGCACATTTAACAGAGATCGGCTATTCCACACGAGACTCAGCATACCTCCACTTTTTAACCCGGTTTCACCACACTCAGAATGAAGACAACAAATAGTGAATGGCACACAGAATTGTTTCATTCGGCCTAGTCGCCCACCACATAACCGAACCCCAACAGTGGTTGGCGCAGTGTCGACAGTGTGTGCTGCTATCGAGCAGTAAAGTTTAGGTTTTTGGCGAAAAATGGTGTGACTTGTATCAGTGCTTAGATAAATAATTTAAATACCCAGCTTGTTGATAAACCTCGGATAAGCAGCTAGGTACATATGTAAGTAGCCACTGCCGCTACGTATGTTAGCGATAGTCAAGCCAAATTATTACAAATCTTTATAAATAAATAGTAATAAGCTGTATTATCATCATTTCTGACGTCGTCACGCCTAGTTGCCTGGAGGTAGGTTAGGCTTAGTGCTTATATGCTAGTATTTATAGTTCACACTTGCTTATACTTTTTGTTAAATAACGCGTACCTAGTGGCTAGTACCTGCATTAACTTTAGTGAATTAATATCGAACCCACTTGTGCGCTTCTGCCCAACAATGAAATCTTGAATTATGAAACTTTAACATAGTTATATAGTCACCATGACTATATTATATTTATTATTTTTTAAATGCTGGGAAAATTTGAGCTGTAAAGAACAGTAATTTGATAAACCAATAAAATTATTAAATAGAATAAATAAATAGAACATTTCAGCATTGTGATATCGTGTAAATTATTAATTTCCTTGCTTCATCATCCATTTGGGTAATATAATAAAACATCAAATTAGTTTCTAACATTATAATTGGCACCATACGTCTTTCAGTCGTATCGTCAGAGATCATGAACTATGAACACGGGGTCCTAGTATTTACTTAATTAAATAAGAAACCTGAACAATCCATAATTTCAAAACATTCTGGCGATATCACTGTAGCTTCTAGTGGATTAGGTTTAACTTATCAAGAAACATACAAACTCTTTGATTTTTCATTGAAAAAAAATTAAGAATTTGTGCACTCTTTCACCTACTTATTTCTATGACGTAGATCACAATTCACTTAAATCTAAGACACAAACATGAGAGTTACTGCGTTCTTGGAGGTGCTAATGTGGTGTAAATCTATGGTCCAATAGAAAGATTCCTCATTTTTAGCTATTTAGCACATTTAATGTGCGTAGGTATCTGTCTGACCCATCTTTAGTGGAATAAGCGTTCGTCTTCCTCTTACCCCTATTCCTAGTGTTCTTATCTTTATGTTTTAGCACTTATTGATGGCTAAGGTCACTGGGCATATCATAGGGCCTCATAAGACTTACACCTCACTAGCGCCAACTGGTCAGCGACACTCCTATGACGCTTCTGAGTAATTCACATCTGACAAATTCATAGTTTTCAAATTGTCACTTTCTGATTAATATCGTGAACTGTAAACCACAATGGATCTCCTTCCTCTTCACTAGTCGGGAGCTGAAGCCAGGAACATTTGTGAGAAGGTGTCTTCACCTTCCTTGTTCATAGTCAGCAACAAGGAAATAAGGAGAACAATGCCGGCTCCTAGCAGCACTCCCACTCCTATGGCCACCGCTTTCTTCGGCCACGACCACTTGGAGCAGGCCCAGTACTGCTCTCGGTAAACACTGGAACAAAAAAGGCAAAAGACATTAGTTATAATACCGCTAGTGTCAGTCACCAATGAAATGACTACTTCGTTGATAGAGTTGCAAACACCATGGCCCTGCAAGATAACTAGTATGCACATAAGGTAGATATGTAGTACGCATTGGGTGTCGATTTAGATGTCTTAAATGGAAGTTTGGAATCGTGTCCGCTTATTATAACAAGGCATAAATATAATTTCTATAAATATTACTCGACAGGGACTAAATCGCTAAAAGTTCATGTCTTTGACGCGGATATCCTATTACCTGTCCATTGAGTCATAACTTTCATCCTTGTTATTTATTACAACCTTCGTTTTCCTTGATCAGATAAACTTTAGTTTTACTATCATTAGATTAGGTACAGCTTTGTATGAGTCATGTTATATTGATAAACATAGACACTGTTATCCTCTTATAGTAAAATCGTCATCATCTGTTAGTTGTTGATGATGGTCTTTGGACTCCTCTAGAAATTATTAAGATTATTATTGTACCAACAAAGGTTACGATTTATCTGAAGACGTGGATCGTATCTTATGGACGTCTGTAACTTTGCACTAACAAACTGTAAGCCTTTTAATTCGTTTCAACATAATATCTGGTTATTTCTAAAGTTTTCAGTGCAAATACATCAATCTTTCATGTATTTCCCCAAAACTAATGGAATGTCATACAAACTGACGTCGGAACCGGTAAGCCGATAAACATATCAAGGAGCTAACGTTATCATATTCTGCGCCCATTATATCCGCTAACGAAAGGTTTTCTATCTTCATTACCTTTTTTTATTAATCACTACCATTACTGAAATATTTTTTAATTCCTTTTAACAAACATCCAATTACGTAGATTGTTGTCAAAGCGATTTAAGAGGATTTCGCACAAGGAAGCTGGAAACGAAGGTCTTCGTGCGAGTGGGTAGGACATCCACTATGAAGTAGTGGAGCTTCGCTGATTGTCTTTTGAATCAACGACAGAAAGGACTAGGGGGAATCAAGTTGTGCAATTGCCCAGCATATTCACCGAAATATATCCGGTAAAAGACCGAAATGCTTGCAACGTTGCGTATGTATTCGAGGCTTTGAACCTGGCCTCCATAAACGCATCATTGTTGACGAGCTTCTTGCCACGCCTCTCGATGTGTGCTGGTGCATCTAGCTGGTATTTAGCCAAGTCGTCCCAAAGATGAGAACAGTACCCCATACAGGACCGAACCCGTGTTTGGTTTAGTAATTTAGCTTAGGAATTGTCGTTATTTTGGAGACGCGCTAACTTGCAAACAAAATAAAGGTTTTCTTCTGTCATATGATAGCTCCATGGCCTAAATGTTTTGCCTGAATTGTAACTTATACAGAGTTTGTTGCTACATACTCCTTGAGAGGTCAGACAGAAGCACATTTATATGTATTTAACTTCAACTTTAAATTAACGCTTTATGACTTAATACATACATAATTATGCACCAAGAACTTTAGCCAGAATCGAAATTTCATATCTATCTGTACCTACATGTACCTACGTTATTAGTGATAAAATGCTGCAGTACTCACCCTGTGGGGGGGTCGTGGCTCACGTGGGACCGCACATCATTCACACTGTTCGCACTACCAATATAAGCTTTATTGTCATATGCATAGTTTTTAGATTTGTCTAAAGCTTTCGTTACTCTCAGATCAGGTTTTTCCTTAATAGAGATTTCTTGTTCAGGGTCTCTTCGTTTCTTGCTCCTCATAGTCTCCACTTTCACTTCACTGAGCTCGACATCCTCTTTTGGTCTGGTCTTTCTCGACATGGTGGCGAGTGCGTCTTTGCGCATGCGACGGCTCACTGATGTTTCTGAGTTTTTAACCATATACACATACTCTTATCGTTCGTGATACTGTTATCAGTAGGACAGGTGTGTTCTATTGTATAATGTTGATACTGTTTCGCGATTTATTAAAAATATTTTGTCTTTTCCGTTTGTTGAGTAGCGTGACGTCACAATAGTTTTTTAGTGACTGTAATGTTAATCGTTTGTTAGTCACGGGGTATTAGTACGTTATACCAACTTTCTTTTTAGTTTTTATGAACCTAATTATTGATAGTCTAGGATAGTAGTGGAGCCCAGTAGACACGGTGAGCATACGGTGGCGGTGTGCCCTGCGTCGGCGGTGTTCAACCGCCGTGTTCTCAGGGATGTGATTGGCGACGGCGCAGCGACCTTTCGCGTCCGGCTCTGGTTCAAACCATGGCCAAGAACGACGGGGACTGGGATGTCGTCTCATCCTACTGCGAAGCAGTCATGCTAGCTAGCTAAGGAGAGGGCGAGGCGCGTGAGGCGAGAGACATTCAGGGCGTCGGAGATCACAAGACGATCTCCGGCCGCACCGTAAGCACAGGCCTGCGGACGGCGACCACGGGTAAATCGTCGCCCGACTCGCGTTCCGCGTGCGCCTCGTAGAGCCATTAGACCACCACAGATGGGGAACAATAGGGCTGATGCCAATACGGAGCCACGTAGGACTTCGTGTAGCCGGGGCTCCGGCTCAAATTGCAGGAGTAGGAACGGGGTGGTTTTTAGTCAGTAAGAGCCTGACACTCCCTCCGCCTCACCCGAACGGGAGAGGTTATTGCATGATTTAGCCCCTCAAAACAAAAAAGAAGAAAAGGGTAGTAGTGGTACGAGGTAATTTAGCATAGCTTTTCTCGTTATTTTCCGTGAGTACACCGGTATTTTTAATTAGTTAAATACTTTTTTACTGATAGTACAAAAACTAGAGTGGTCTCATTACATTGCCGTTAGCCGAAGTCTAAAGAGATGGTCGGAACATAATTATTTTCGAACAGCTGGATTCCAGCCGGTGCACACACAAGACACCGGGCTACTGACTGCGACCGCGGAAAAGTCGCGATACTCACTAAAGAGGGGTAGATGAAGAAAGTTAATTCAGTTTATGAACGTCTAATTTTTGTTGACTTGACTCCGAAATCAACAGTAATATTTCGAAATCAGAAAACCCATTGTTATTTACCCAATTCGAGAGTTGAACCCGAAATGTTCGGCAGTCGCATTTACAACCATTCGATCTATCAGTCTTTATTTGTTGTCCTTAATGTCATTGTTATTTAATGGTATAGGGGATAAAGATGATGATCCTGATCAAGGATGCCTTATCTAGTAAAGGCATCCTTGATCCCTTGGACACCTGCAACAACAGAAGTTGCAGATGTGTTGCCGGTCTTTTTCATGGGAAGGGAAGGGAGGTTGCCTTCACACATTACTTTAATGCATTAAAACTCCATCGTCTTATAAAAAGTAATTTATTTCATAAATAAGTACTAGAATTATTTACATAATTACAAAGTTTACAAGTAAGCGGTCGCCCGCGACCTTATTTACATTAATAACTGATTTTCGACTTTATACATAAAACAATAAGGTTGAAAATCGATTATTATTAGCAGCATATAATGATACACTAAAAGCTCGGGCAGTATTAGTTTACTAACTTATTATACTTTTTAATAAATGTGTTGACTCTGATTATTAAAATCTATCACATTGTAATATGAACAGTTTTCCAGTGACGTAGTAAACGAAGTACACACCAAGCTATATAAATCCAGTATAAACTGACCTTTGATTGTGTGAAAAGTTCATATAAGGCGAGACCACGATAAATTGGTTACGTATAGCTCGATCTGTAACTGTGTGTACCAAACCAATAACAACGCATTCTCTTTGTACCAGACCAAAATTCTAGAATTCATCGAAAGATACTTCAGTCACAATACACTTATCAGTCCTGATAAGCGAACAAAGCATAGCTACACGAACCTATCGAAAATCCGCAAAAAATTTAAGGTTATAAAGCAAATTATTTCAAACTAATCTGAAAATACGTTATCACTGTTATCACTTGGCAAATGCTCGACAATGCTCGACGTATATCTAGGTCACTACTGGTATAATCTCTTCCAAATTATTTTTTATGTGACGTCATGGCTTCTCTTTACCTTGCTATATTGAGCAAACATTCAAGTTGTGAATCTAAAGTAAACCTCCCTGCTCAGTCTCCCCATTCCCCGAATCCTCCACAATCTTCAAATTCACAATTCCCAAAAGGCCAGTAATGCAAGTGCATTGAATGCCTGAATGCGTGTCTTGTACGCCTTGGTGTTCCAGGTGTCCATGGGCGGTGCCGATTGCTTACCGGTAATCCGTCTGCTCGTTTACCGGCTTATGCCATAAAAAAGTCCCTTATACTTGTTATTCGTATTTAGAATAAAATTGTTTATATTTAATTGTTAAATGTCAGTATAATTATATTATTGACACTTTAACACTTTAAACGCCATGGGGGTCCTCGGTGACTGACGAAATTAGCGAAGGATTTGCCTTTGACAGTTCTCTATAGGCAGTTAAAGACTTAAGGCAATTCAAATTCAAAGTTCCTAGATACTTTAGAAAGACTATCCACCACCTGATCCGAATTTCATGCCGATCCGTTCAGCCGTGTGTGAGTAACAAATATTTATTTAATAGTATTTTTACGGCGTCTCGTGGTATTTTAACAGTTTTATCAAGAGGTATGAAACTTGTTATCTCTACTCCTTATTCCAAAACCATTTATCCTTCCTTAACCAGGCCAAGAACAAGGTATAATTTATTATTTGACTTTTCAGTAAAAAAATCAAAACATTGGATTTGTTAATGACTAGGAATGAAAGAGTTATGTCAGGATCGTAGCAATTGGCGTTCCGTAGTCTCTGCCTACCCCCATGAGATACAGGCGTGAAGTTATGTATGTACGTATGTATTATATATTTATATTATAGCGTAATATAAACACATATCTTAAATAATAAGATCTTAATAATATACACATGCAGCCTCCATCAAATCACAATAATGCATTCTGAAATAGAGTTATACTCTACAGAATTATAATCCATATTTGTTCTCACTATGGTTCAAAATAGGGCGAAGTGTCTGTCATTGTTTCCAGGGAGGAGAGGACCTATTATCTCATCAGGATTCTGTCCTGTGATGATTAAGGCCAAAGTTATGATGCCCCCGACTAAAGACATTCCTAATAAGACTCCTATTCCGATTGCTAAGATTTTCTTCCCGTGTGACCACTTGGAGCAGGCCCAGTACTGCTCGCGGTAGGTGCTGGAAAAAACAAAAGATTTTGATTAGTAAATAGCTTTCTGGTCGAGAATCTTAGAGGTACATCTATGATATAATATAATATAGTATTGCCAGTATTGGCAGGCTATACAACATCACGCTATGGTCAATAGGAGTCGATTAGAGCGGCTAAAACCGCATAACAGTAATAATTTTCAATATGCGGATAATCTAGTAGTGGTGTACGGTATTATTAACATTTATTGTTTTCATATCTGCGAAGGCGAAGGGTAGCACCACGTTTTCCAAGTGGCAATTTTCCATCGTAAATGGGTAGCGGTTCTGGCAACAGATTGGTGCAATGATGTCATGGAGCACCTGGTTCTGTACCTTTGTGTACCCTTCAATGGCAAAACCACACAACATTAACTATAATAATAACGAAATCGCAATAAGGAACCTTAGACTTGGCACGACTTTGTTATATTTCATTACGTTTTAGAGATAAACTAGCAGCTCCATAGAGACTTGGCTAGTTTTTTACAGAATATTTTTGGTTGGTTTAAAAATTACCGATACTATTGCTACTTGTTATCCCTGAATAAAATTATGAGATCCAACAAGAAAAGATAGTCGATCTGTATTGCATTGTATTGGCACAATAACAAACACTGCAGTATGATAACTAAGACTGACCGATATCTTATCATCAATAAGTTGATCCACTACTTTTACTGCGGAAAAATAAGAAATAGGACATAACACGACACGACACGATTTTTCTAAATTTCATCTCCCCACAAATCTAAAATTCTACTTTTGTACGCTGTAGAAAGTATCAATAAAACCTGCATTCGAGCCTGGGCCTTTAGCCGAACGCCACTTTAGCGCTTGTCTACAGAGAGAGTAGAAATCAAAATGTATGGGGATCACACTGACAAGTGTCAATATTTATGTCTATTTCATATAATTTGGTTTTATATTCTACATGTAGACAAGCACTAAATGGCATTTGGCTACAGCTCCTGATTAGATACCCTTTGCTATATAGTCTTAATTGCTAATTATTATTATTATTCAACCAACCAATAACTAATAAGACTAACGCAATGCATAATTTGAAAGACATTGACATTGAATATCGTTTTATTGTTTTATTAAACTGTTATTAAACAGAATAATATAATGGACTACAGTCGCGATGGCTAAAAGTTGCAAATTAGTTTATTTTCAGGTCGTATTATATCGCAACGAATCGATAAGATAAATGTTATGATCGAGTCATCGATTCGCGTGTCATGAAATATTTAACTACCAGGAAAATTGTTAAAATGACCATTTAGGTACAATAGATGGTAACAGACACGCATTTTAATCCTGATAAGGTCAGTTAATATAACCAAGAGCACCTAAACCCATTTTGGTGATTTTTATGAAAGAAGAAAAATCAAGGTCGTTTTGCAAAACTACACAAAAAAAATAGACACGGGATCAATAGGGCTTGGACCCGGCAAAACCCCAAAATCACACCTATAAACGATGTTTTAAGACCAAATCCAAAAGCCAATAAAGTATTTTTTTATAACTGTGATACAAAAGTGAGTGAGTGGTAATAATCTGAGCTTGAGAAGTTACTTCAATATTTTCGACTACAAGTTTGAAGTTCTTTACAATTCTGCCATTATATAGGTATTTTTTCGGTCTGTCCAATCTTTAGAAAATGTCGCTTTCTGATATAATATTAACAGATAAGAATATAATTAAAAAGTGGATGATAATATCTTGGTTACTTTGTACGTGTATTTAAATCAACATATCTTCATAATCTGCTTATATTTATGATTAGTTGTGTAAATATCGCTGTTGCTAAATTGATTTAAAGCCAACAGCCAACAAACAATACATCACTGCTATAGATAAATAAATACTTATCTAGTAAGGACTAAGTACCTGTAAGTTATATTTGTCGGACTACAGGAAAAATTATCAACAAACAACATTATGACACTCATATGGTCAAAATTTTTTGCACCCAAAACGGAACCCTGCGAACTCCAGTTTTGGTTTTACCTAATCATGTGTAATTTTCGCTAAAATGTATACATAATACAAGAGAACGATGAAGATGAAACTGTAACCACTTAAAGTCCAGACAAGGAAGAGCAAAAAGTAGATTAATAAAATGAGGGTTAGAAAAGTTAAGGAGAATACCATCCGGATTTGTATTGTGCAAGAATAAAGTAAAAATGATAAGATGGAAAACCGCCTCGTCACTTGTTTGCCGACATTGAGTATTTTTCAAATAGCTTAATATAGAATTAGCTTGATTCTGAATCCTACTCGATTATTTATCTATGCCACCAAGGCAACAACATAGTTTATGCTAAGTCTAAGCTATGTATGATAATATGTATCTAAAACCTATCATTTCTATTTTTGGCCATGACCTTTCAAGCTATCTATAACCTTTTTCATAACTCTGGATTTCCTATGATATCTTTCAGTATTACCTATGATATGGTATAAATTATGTCAGTAGTTGTTACTACAAAAAAACATGATACTAATTGTAATCAGCAATGACCGATAGTTGAATCTCATTGCTAATGATAAAAAACTACGCAATAGTTCAAGAATTTACCAACCTTGTTATTGGTTGTTGACATCTTCCTTCGTTAACACTGTTTAGGCTTCCGACATACGCGTTATTAACGTATACGTAGTCTGTGGATTTACTTGAGGTCTTAGGCTTGCCTTTCGTGGTCCCTTCGTAAGGACCTGCGGAGTGTGTGTTGCGTCGTTGCTTGTGACGTGTGGGGTCTGAACTGGTACCACTGTGTTCATCCCTTCGTCTCCTTTGTTGTCTCACCATATTCGCTTCCTCATCGCTGAGGTCGGCGACAGCTAATCGTTTCTTATGTCGCATCACGTGTACATTAGCAACGCCATGGTCTATGGTGTCATAGTTCCTACGTTTCTTGTGATCTCTCATGTCTACACTGTCGTCACTGCTTTCAGTTTCCGGTCGCCTAGCTTGTATCGCACCCACACTTTCAACACTACGTTCAACATCTCGCTTCTTCCGTCTGCCGCCTTCTAATCCATCGTGACTGCTGGATCTGTCTCGACGCGACTTTTGTCTAGTTGCGTCACTGTCTACGTCTCTACTAGTCTCACTTGTGCCTACGCTCAGTTCTTCTACACTTTTCCCCTTACGACGACTCTTGTGTTTAATAAGCACGTCTACTTTCACATCACAAAGCTCTACTTGTCCACTAGACATGGAATCCTTCTTCGGCATCGTCGATTACGAGCGTTTACATGAACATAAAACCAGTTACTGAGCGTACATATACCTTTTTATCGTTTGTGATAAAGTAATCAGTAGATAGGGGTGTTCCTATTTTTTATGTCTTTTGATAATATTGATACTGTTTTGCAATTTATCTCACAAAAATTATCCATCGGTTATCAGTGTTGTGATATTGTATATTGAGCTGCGGATTGTGGAGTTTAATGCAAACTGTCAACAGGTGGAATCTTATCGAATGTTCCTAGGACCACTTGCTCTATTGTTGTACTCACTAGTTTGATCAAAGTAGAAGGAAAGTGGTCCTTTTATCACATCAGCATAACTCTGTCCAGACACGCCTGCTATGTGTTTGGTTCCTGTTATCTTACATTAACTGACCTAGACTGCATCGTCTTATGATAAGATATCGCGATACACCAAATAGTTTTAAACTCTAAAATAACCGATGTGTCCTTCAAAGTGATTAATTACTTTTAACCTTCCGTAAATCAGTTTATCTGTTTTCAGATAAAGCATAAGACTTTCAAAATGCTGCAAGACCTTTTTTTAATGCGTTGTTCGGATTTCTATTCACCAGTCGTTCACTTCCATTATGATTTAGCAAAAAAGTTATATTCGGCATGCATTTCTTTTACTATAAACACACAAAAATCAAATTACTCTTAGTATCGCCAAGAAAATTGTAGAACCCATTCGTGTAACAGGATGAACACAGAGAATTTCTAAATCAGTCTTCCGTTGAAGGAAGGACAAGTCCAAAAAAGGCGTCAGTATTATTATACCTGGATTCCAGAGGAGCTAATTAGAAAAATGTCTCGTTAATTGTGCAATGACGCGACCGGTAGCAGTCGGGCGCCTTGTAAGGGCCCACTAATGAGGAGGTCGTTACTTTTTGTTCGCCACGGCGTTTGTTACCGCGAAGTCGTCAAAAATGTCGCTAATAGTGCCACTGTTACCGTATATTTCCTTGAAAGGATTAAAGGTCTCGGGTAAAGTGATGGAAATTTTTAACTCGAAATTTTCAGTAAAACCTGTACTTACGTAATGATCACTGGAGAAAACACATCAAGAAGAGTCGTATTGTCTCATTATGATATTATACTGCGGTGAGACCGTAAGGGCGTGGGGGCCACGGCCACAGGCAAAGAAGGAACACCGCGGTGGTTTTCACCCCGTCGCCCTCAATCCGTGGGAAGTCAATGAGGATTTTCATCGCGTTATAAAAAAAAAAATGATTTAACCTTACATTCTAGATAGGTTTCTAGATTGTTTAAAATTACAGCGTAGAGCAATGAAAACAAAGATTTTCTTTGTACTTTGTATGCAGAACTTCCTACAGAAAAATTGTCTTTTGTAGCATAACTAGATCTTCTTCATTTATCCTCCCCTTATCAGTCGTCATCCTATCACAAACTCCTATCTCCTCATTTTTATACTAATTAGGTACACAATCAACTTTTGTATGACGTACTTTTTTCTGTAATTTTACAAAGAATTTGTGATGACAGAATTCTTGGGTACGTCTTATTTAAAGTCTAGTAGTTTATGCAAGTGCAAAGTGTAGGTACAGCAGTGAATATTGTTGAAAGTAAAAGTATTCGCGGAGTAGATATGGAACATCTGTGCTGCGGTGCTATCGACTGATTAGATTACATCCCTATCGCGAGCGAGTACGCAGCATTATACTATCACAAAGCATTCTACATACACCTGATTAAATTACGTTTATACAAATAAACAGTTAGTTTCTGATGTATTGAAAACATTAGATAACGTGATGTCTTTAACAACTCTGGGTCAGACTCCGTTAGCCTTTGAAGTCATCATATTTGAACATTATTGGGGGGTTACATGATGTCTCAGTCAGTTGTCAAATTCATTTATTTCAATTTGACCATAAAGGCACTATTGAACTTCAATAAAAAATTAAAAGTGAAGCTATTTGCTCATTCCAAGGTGTAGATTCCTATGGAGAAGAATGAGCAAGGAACTCCATAGGTTACTCTTTTTCAATCAGGATCCTAATACAATTCTCTAGTTACATTAATGCGTTGACATAATTGACTTTTAAAGCCAAATTCATATTCAAGTCACGAATTGTGCAAAGTACTTTTGAGTTTTACCATTTAGATTTTACCTCTTCGTTTAGTACGTAATAGATGATGAGATATTATGTCTCAAAATATGTGACCTAGGTAAACAACCAACAGACCCTAGCTGAGTTACTGATAGTTGGCACTAATCATATTTACGTTAATATCTTATTTAGTCCTATATTTATCAATTTTCAGAAAATGGAACTGCTGCACGTGATTATCAAGTCAGGGCCGTCCCCGCGACCCCTCGCCTGGTCGCTGGAGGTCTCACCTTCCGAGGATGGAGACGACTGGAGGATGATCAGAGCATTTGGAGACAGGGACCACTGTCGTAAGCTCTGGGACCTTAGGCCTGAGAGAAGACGTCGGAAGGCCAGAGCAGCGAAGAGAACGAGTAGGGCTGATAAACCTGCCTGTTCTACGCAGTTTGCTAGTCCGAGGCCGCTTGAAAATGGAGAGGTATATATTATTCATATTATTCCTTTTTGGTCGTTGCTTTAGTTTTCTCTGTTTTAGGAGTTAAAAAAAGAGGTCATCGTGTGGTAGGAAATCATAAGCCGTGGTGCGGCAGGGTGCGGCTGATTAAAAACAAAATGGCCGAAATACAACAGCTGAAAATTAATCTAATTATGTTCTATAGTTTTGTATGAATGTGTTTATCTTTGTTCGCGATTATCTCGCAATCGGCTGAACCGATTTTGATGTGGTAATTTCTGAGGACAGAAATATTGAAACGATATTTGTTAAGTTATACTTTAACTTACAGTTTATTTAACTTTACAGATGCATGTCGGTGTGGGAGAAGGCGTGGTTGCGCGTCGTGTGCGTTTGTCATTCCGCGCTGCGCACGCGTCGTCCGCGAAACAACAGTACTACACGGTGCGCGCGCTCACTATCGCTGCGCGGTGTCTGTGCCATGGACACGCCACTAAATGTGAAGTAAATGCTCAGGTTTGTATAATATCCATGTAAAACTAGCCTGAAGAAATCATTATTATACACAAATTAAATATTAATTACTTCAAGTCTGAATGTGGCGTATTTATGAACGACAACGAATGTGGAGAATAAGCACTAAGATCTTCGAACAGTATTTTTTATTTAATGTTTTTTAACATATTTACGTCTAACAAAACGGCTCGAAACATTACGAGATGACTTGAGTAGTTTCATATCACGCTGGGGGCTCGTAATCTTCTTTTTCTTTTCTTTTTGTTTCATGGGCCAACGCGACATATCTCTATCACATGTTGTTGCGTTTGTTTCAGGGTGCAAAATGTGAATGTGAGCACGGTACCTGCGGGGCTCACTGCCAGCGGTGCTGCTCCGGAGGGTCCTGGTCTCCTCACGAACCGTGTGATGATGGAGAGGAGAAGCCTGAGTGTTCCTGTGGCGAGCGTGGGGCCTGTTCCTATGATGATACAGGCGCCATACTTTGTGTTAATTGCACGGTAATTACAGATTATTCTACTTAACTTTTTTAAATGAGATAGTTTGTTAACTACTGAACTGATTTAAATGACATTTGGTAGATGTATAGATTATAGTCTAGTTTAGCATTTAGCATAGGGTTCTTTGGCCGATCATGTGGACTAAACAGAAGCTAGTCAGAACACAAGTCCTACCCTTTGTGTAATGTCCAAAATATCTAGGTCCTAACCATTTGCCTGCTTTTCCTGTGTAAGCAGGCAACTTAGGTAATTATCTAATTTGGAATATTCTAATTCATTCTAATTTCTTACACCACAGTCAAAAAGGTCTACGAAAAGGTAAAAATTGTGAATTTTTTACCATATTCACGTAGGTATTATTTAGTAAGATTGTGTCGAGAATGCGTGATATCGACGACTGGTAGATAGGCGAATGATATCGTTTTGTTACGTTCATGTTTATTATTAGGTTATTATGTAAATCTGAAAGTTGTTGTTTATTCCACAATCGACGTCTTAAATTAATAGGGTACTATCCTAAATTTTATTTTAATGTCCGTCTGGTGGATTATTTTAACCATTAGACACATATTTTTTCTTTTCTCACATAATTAAACAATTGCGATGATATATTGATTTGAAATATCGTGTGACGACACTATTTACTACATTTTATAGGGTAGTGTGACGTAACGACCTCCGACTTCTAAACTGAACTACATTTTATCTAAGTATATTGTTTTCTTATACGACAAAATGAAAAAAATATGTGTTTAATATTTTTTGTTATCTAACTGACGGGCTAGTTACATTTTTAGTTTTCATACACTGTCTACTTCTTATTATGTTTTCGGCTTACTCACGTAACTGTTTGATGAGGAGCCCGACTAGTTTCAAGTCATGCTAAAGGCTCATATTCATGAACAGCATTCCGCGACTCACGACACCGTCCTGTCTCATGAAAGTTATAATATAAACAATTAACGTCTTGTTAGATCCTGTTGCTACATGGTTCTACAGGAAACATCGTGAGGGATTTTGACGTATCACGTTCCGATAGCTCAAATTCTGGTGATAGAAAATGAAATGATAAGCATATTTGTAAAATAATGCAAGTTTTTATGTAGGTATATGATTTCGAAAAAAATGTCATATAAATCTTTGTAATGTATATTGCAGGAGAATCGAGCGGGACCCTTGTGTGACAGGTGTCTGTTCGGGTATTACAACGCTCTGCCTGATGGACCCTGTGTGCCGTGTGGCTGTGACCCTCAGGGCTCTGATGGTACGTACTGGGTGATATTCTCCTTTATGATTACCTTATTTACACCCGTAGAATCAGGAAATTCAGGAGAAATGTGGAAATAGAAATCAAGATCACATGCTATGGTATAACGAGACTCATGGTTAACCAATTGGATACTATTGTTCAAAATTCACAAGGGAAAATCTTATAAAACTTTCTTTACCTTCTTACAGGATCTTGCAGATGGGATAAGAAACAAAGGCAGGTGACCTGCAGCTGTCTGCCAGGGTTCACAGGTTCACTGTGTGACTCCTGTGAGGATCCTACGGCACAATTCCCAGATTGTCAGACCCCAGTGACCCCCGCCTGCAAGTGTGACCCCCGCGGTATTGTGGACCCCGACCGAGTCTGTGATGAAGTCTGTGAGTGTAAGGTAAGTGTGTATTCATAATTATTATTGTCATGAAGTCCGCATTCAGCTTTTTATGGAATAGGGCAGCAGACAAACAGATTACCTGATGGTAAGAAATCAGCGCTGCCCACGTAGCATCAAAGGACTCACAAGTTTATTGACGGGCTTTGGGAGTTTTAGGGGGGAGGCAATTGAGTCTTGGCCTTGGGCAAACTGAATAACAGGGCGGAACTCAACACAAGAGCGTAGTTTTACACTGGTACCACGCCGTTCAAGCCGGCCCATTAGTGCTAAAGCATTGGGCTATAATAACTATGCACGATCTTTATTAGATCCCTATTTTATCTATACCAGTTTAGGTATCAAATTTCTATAATATTTTATGTACAAGTCTCACGATTGTTTTTTAATTTCAGAGCAACGTGGTAGGTGAGCGATGTGACGCGTGTGCCCCGGGCCACTTCGGTCTGTTGGCTGAGTGGCCGACTGGCTGCAAGCCCTGCTACTGCTCACATGTCACCGACACCTGCACCCTCGCCGCGTCTGACGACCTGGAGCCACCGAGAGATGTCAGTATACTCTCGACCAAATTCAAGTCACTGTATATATACGACGTGGTAGATAGATAGACAAAAATATAATTTATGACAGAATACAATAGTTAAGTCTTTCCAGGTTATACTGCCTCTCGGTGAAGCGTGGCTGATCACCGACACTCAGGGAAATGAAACGCTAGAGCCATCTGTCGACGAGCAAGGGAAACCGTTTGTCATAAGTTATGAGGTGAGCAATAAAACAAATAGTCCTTTTCTTGTATAAGATAAAGTTAATATTAATATTAAAGGGCGTTGTAAGACCCTGTGGAATTACCTCTCGAACAATGAGGAGACTGGTTTACGCTCTGAAAGGAGACCTTCCTGAAGATTTTTCATTCTGATCATGTTCACAATTTATTCGCTTGAATATGGGAAATGCAAACTTATTCGTGTTTCAGGTAGAAGGGTGGGAGTATTTCTATTGGATGACGAACTCCTTCAACGGGGACCAGTTGGCTGCTTATGGTGGCGAAGTCCTGGCTTCCATGTACTGGGGCATAGTGCGAGGAGACACTGGAGGAAACCCCACCTTTGGACCTGACGTCATACTCATTGGGACAGGCAAGTTTCAACTATTGTAGATGTATGTTATGCCAGAGAATTATGAACTTTATTAAAACATGTATAAGGTTGGAATTTTAATAAATGTTTGGGTGATGACGTCCGTTTATTTTGGTTTTGTATTAATAGTTTCTTTTTGGGTTTTTAATGTTTGACCATATCCAACAGATGGCACTATGTTAGCATACTCCAACACTAGCCACGAGACTCCTGGCAACCTGCAGATCTCCGTACCACTGCTGGAAGGGAACTGGCGCGTGGTGGAAGATGACCAGGTGGCTTCCAGAACACAGTTGATGGATGTACTGCGAGACATGAAGGGTATCATGTTGAAGGCACATTACCACTTTGATCAAGATGAGGTATGTATATGTATGTAGGTTGGTAGACATAGTAATACTATGAATGCGACAGTTTGTAAGGTTTTTATACCTATAAGCTCGTGAACGAGCAGACTATTTACCTGATGATAACCAATCTACGTCACCCATGGAATCCTGAACCATCAGAGGAGTTAAAGAGGCGTTGCTGGCCTTTTCGGGGTTAAGGAATTTGGGGATTGGCAATTCGAGTATTATGGAAAATAGGATAATAGGGGAAGGACTAGTTTGTTTTACGTTTAACGAGATCGAAACGAGACAGCGTTCTGCGTTATGATTGGTTGGTTCGTTGGAAACAGCAACGGACTTGTAAGTCCTTTAGTGTTGCGAATGTCCATGGGTGGCGCTGATCGCTTACCATCAGGTGATCTCGCTAATCCTTTGCATCCCATTCCATAAAAAAAGCACTAAGCCCTCAGGTGATGCGTCAGCTTATTTACCGGCCTATTTCATGACAAAATACTTCTGTGGCACACAGGTCCGCCTGGAGCGCGCGGGCGTGCGTGGCGGCGCGGGGCCGCGCGAGGTGTGCGCGTGCCCGCGCGGGCACGGCGGGCCGCAGTGCGCGCGCTGTGCGTGGGGCCACTCGCGCGTGCCGCACTACCAGTGCCTGCCGTGCGCCTGCAACCTACACGCTGCATGCGACACCGGTCGGTATACTTACTTATTTATTAAGCTACTTCCCCGCAGTTTGACGGGCTCTGCGCGGTTCTTATTCATCGTAGCTTGATAATTTATAGCCTGTAGCCTTTCACGATAAATGCCTTATCCAACACGAAAAGATTTTTCTAAATCCGACCAGTAGCTTCCGAGATTAGCGCGTTTAAACAATAAGCAAACAAACAAACACACAAACAAACAAACTCTTGAGTTTAATAATAGTACAAGGGTATAAGAAGATACCTAGATAAGATACAGGTTATAACAATTTAAAAATAAGTAAAAAACCTTTTTAAGTTAAACGGTTTTATGTTAAACATTACAATGTTTAAGATAAATGTACTAAAAACCAAAAAATAATAAAATAGATACAGTCGTGGGAATTATAAACATATGCATAGAGACCATGTCGGCAAATGAGTGTTCTTGGGCAGGCTTGGAGGTCTCAGTAATCTTCTGTTTAAGGTCTTGGAGTTGATGAGAGAGGTCAATCTGACACTCCAGGTCACAAAGGCGTTGGTGGTCTACCAAAGCTCTACATTTTAGACCTTGGTATAGCACTGCCATCTGTGACGAAGCACTGATGACCTTCCGGGATAGAGCATTTACTCGCAACTTTTGTTCCGAGTTCATCTTGCCAGCGTCGACAAGACTGCATATCTCGGTGAGGTTTTGGTCGATGGCAGCTACCCATTTTTGCAGTTCCGGGGTTTGTATGACTTCTGGGGCATCGGTACTTCGGGGTGTTGTCTGTATGACAGGAGCGCTCATCGGTGCAGGTGTACCAGGTGGCGAGCGTGCAACCCTGCTACTCTGAGCAAAAGGGCTGTTGTCCATGATGCAAGGTGTTTAATTTTCAATCGTATAGCATTGTCAATTTACACATTACACGATAAGTATTAATGTTCAGTTGTTATTCTAGGTCACGATTTTTGCAAATGATTATTTAACATTCGCAGGGGCCATGCTAATCTTCTCTGTATCGTTCCAATTTTAGTATATGTACTGCCGAAGCAAGTACTAAGTATTGGACCTCGTGATGAAATATATCCTTACTAATATTATAAATCAGAAAGTGAGTTTGTTGCTTTGAATTTGTACAGACGTAAAGTTAGAAGTCCGGATTAAATAATAGGGTACTTTTTATCCCGGAAAAATGTGATATTCCCGAGGGAAAACAAAATTATTGGTATAGATGGCGCTGTGTGTATTGGTATATGTCACATAGGCTACTTTTGTCCTTTTATGACGCGAGCGAAGCCGCGGGTAAAAGCTGATAAATTACTTGTGAGAGTGTGAGACTCATAATGCTGTATCCTAATAATATATTTGTTTGACTATGTGACTCACCGATTTAATATTAGTATTATAAATGATAACGATTGTAATCGATATCACAACAAATCGTTTACGAATCACGTCATGCCGAAATGCGTCACTCCACACATACTTGACTCACCTTGACCATCACTGATTACGTCACAATGTCATAATGGAATTACACAATTATGGACTATGATATGATAGACAAGGTGATTCCGATCATTGACCTCTCTGTTTCCTCGTCATTTGTTTAAAATTTTATTAATTTCAGCCTTTAGGGAACTCATTTAGGAACATCGAACTCATTGAACTTTTTTCACTGAAACCACGATTACGAAATACCTACGATAGCTATTTGTTTTTACAAAAGTAGTCTCGAAACTTCTGAAAAAAGGTCTATAATGTAGTTAATGGAGAGCAGTCCACGGTGACGGCTCGGAGATTCATGTCAACATGCATAAGTGCTATTTAGTAATTTAATCGCGATATTTTCAAAATGAGCATGAACTGGCCTTGCCCGCTTTCTGTTGAGATAATAAGTCTATCTGTTGTTCCGTACCATAATCTACCGCTGTTCCAAATTTCATCCCGATCCTTTCAGCCGTTTTGGCGTTAATGAGTAACAAACATACAAATTCACAAACAAATTATAATACTAGTAAGGATTAGTGAAATTCATACTTATTACTACTTTTGTCAGTGAATGGACCTTGTGGACCGTGCCAGCACAACACCACGGGTCCGCACTGCGAGCGATGTCTGCCCGGACATTACGGGAACCCTGTCCAAGTAAGTACAATACAATACAAATTGTATCCCATTCACACAACGATAGAAAAATCAAATAAACCTTCAAACCTTCAAGAAAAGATCGTATTCCTTTTTAAAAGGCCGGCAACCCACCTGTCACTCCTCTGATGTTGAGGGTGTCCATGGGCGGCGCTGATCGCTTACCACCAGGTGATCTGTCTGCTCGTTTGCCTCCTATTCCACAAAAAAATTGTCAGTAAAAAAACTAACGACATGAATGGAACACGAATCTACCACAGTTTTCTAGTCAACATAATTATGTATTATATTTATATCAATGAGTCAACGCCATTTTAGCGTTTTGCTCTCGCAAGGTACGCTTACAATACGTCGTCGTATCTAAGGGACGTATTAAGGTGAACCCGTGCAAACATATATTTAGAGTCTAACCATCCTATGAACCGTAAAAGTATGAATAATTATGATAAGGTATTTTATTCTTCATGATATTCACAATCTCTAACTAAGAAAATATTTATCTATCAGGGAGCGTGCAAGCCGTGCGCGTGTCCATTATTTGAGGCGAGCAACAACTTCAGCCCCAACTGTGCGCTGGCCAGTGCCGAGGGAGACGAGTACGTCTGTACACAGTGTCCTGACGGGTATACTGGTGACCACTGCGAGAAGTAAGTTACAACACATTCATGTTGCAATATAGGCCTTCCTCAATGACTTCCAGAATAGATACCTAGTTATTGTTTTTAGTTCATTTAAACATCTTTAAAAATCAGAACATGATATGGTTTTCCTGATTCGTGCATAGAACTAATTACACTTACCACCAATGACTTTTATGGGATGAATTAAAAAGAATATGATATGCTAATGCAAGTTTTCCAGTTCTAGTAAGTTTGTCTGCCTTTTGTCTTTGTCTCTAAATGACAGAACCAAAGGACAAGATTAAAGGAAATCTTTCTTTCAGTCGTTGAAAATCATTTATCTTTAATAGTACAATGTTAGAATACTAATATTTGTGTGTAACAGTTGTGACTTCGGGTATTGGGGTTCCCCAACGACCCCTGGTGGTACCTGCCAGGCGTGTGAGTGCGGGGGCTCGCCCTGCCACCCCGCCACGGGCCGCTGTCTCACCTGTCCGCCGCATACTGAGGGCGCGCGGTGTGATCTCTGCAAGGTACAGTACTATATTCCCCACGACCCCTGGTGATATCTGCTAGGCGTGTGAGTACGGGAGCTACTGAAGTTAACGTTGAAGATGAGTAGCAGTCTAAACTCAAAACATAAGCTAATTGAAAATTCACAAAAATAAATTTTAGATTCGTGTGTTTTGTGTTATTCATTGGTTATTAATAGACTACCATGTTAGTAAATGATTGGTTGTGTGTACAGGAAGGCTATTGGTTCGGTGGCGAGTCGAGCAGTGCAACGAGTGCAGGGTGCGTGGCGTGCGCGTGCGGTGCGGGCGCGCTGTCGGCTGCGTGCGACGCGCGCACCGGACACTGCGCCTGTAGACCCGGCTGGACCGGCCGCGCCTGTGATACTTGTGTGCAGGGATACGGGGGTGAGACGATATCTTGGTATCTATATGTGTGCAAGTCGTGGTGATTTAGATGTCAAGGCAGCTTTCAATATATGGGGGGTGCGAGTTTGAAACCTAGCAAGTAGCAATGCGACTTTTCCAAATTATATTATGATAAAAGTATATTCTCAACACAGGTGTATCGGCGGGTTGCCCGGCATGTCGCTGCGGCAGGGCGGCGCTGAACGCGACGTGTGACGTGGTGTCGGGGGACTGCGCCTGCGCACCCGGCGCCGCGCCCCCTACTTGCGACACGTGTCTGGATGAACACTACGGTTTAGATAGTACGGGGTGCAAAGGTAAGTGCAATGTAATTATACTTTATTTTATAGATGGCGAGATTTTAATGTAATCGTGTCAAACAATTGTTTTTACGTCTTCAGTGCTATTTATAGAATATGTTTTTGATAATGTCGTACATTTTTGAATGTCTCAATGTTTGTTTTCATTTGTTTAAACATTTTTTGGATATGGAGGATTTAAAAAAATATTTCTGTTACTTAAAATAGTGCGCGGAATTGATTGATTTCTTTATTTCTATAGTACACACAAATAAAAATTTGTTATCATCTTTAAAAAAAACACAATCTTGGAAGGTATTCTAGAATTATGCAAATGGACGATCGTACACAAAAGCATGTTTACGTATACCACAAACAAAAGTACGCGAGTACGCACTTAATGTCTGTAACCTAGGGCTAGACTCAGACTTACTGCTTATATCCTAGGGCTCAAACTTCACAAACTTGTAGGACTACACGTGCACTACAATTTACGTAATTTCTAAACGGCTTCGTACATGCCCTTAGAATATTGGCCAGTGATGCTCAATGTTGTAGGATACCATTGTAAAAGAGGAACTTACAAATAATAAGTGTGGGAGAGCTATGCTTCAGCACGAATGGGCCGGCTTGACCGGAGTAACAGTACAGCCTCACAGGAAACCGACGTGAAACAACGCTTTCGTTGTGTTTCGAAATCCCCAACAATCCTCAAATTCCTAATCCCAAAAGGCCGGTAACGCACTTGCAACGCCTCTGGTGATCCAGGTATCTATAGGCATCTCAGGTGATCTGTCAGCTAGTTTACCAGCTTATACCAAAAATAAAATAAATGTGGTATAAGACTAATGAAAGTTTCCAAAATAGATTCCGTCTTTCTGAACAGATACGATAGAAATACAGACAAAAGTGATATTTATGTAAGTATTATTTTTGGATTCCCAACAAAAGACGCAATATTACGTAATATAATATAATCTACTAGATATATGTAATGTACGCCTTATGTTCCTTTAATTACAGGGAACCATACACTGCAAATAAAATAATTAAGAAATTGGAATTAAAGTAGTTATTGACCGTCTATAGATGATGAAAGTCGCGGAGAACTTAACGGGTAACCGGGGCTCCGACTCGAAGTGCAGGAGAAGGAACGGGTTTTTAGTCAGTAAGAGTCTGACACTCCCTCCCGCCTCACCCAGGCGGGAGCAGTCATTCGATGATTTTCCCCCGTAAAAAAAAAAAATTGATGATGAAAAACTGTAAAACAAATTTATTAGGTTAATACGATATGTATTTTTTTATGGCATAAGCCGGTAAACGAGCAGACGGATCACCTGATGGTAAGCAATCGGCGTCGCCCATGGACACCTGGAACACCAGAGGCATTACAAGTGCGTCACCGGCTTTTTGGGGATTAGGAGTTTGAGGATCGTTGGGAATTCAGGGATTGGGGAGATTGGGGAAGGGGAAGGTAATTGGGCCTCCGGTAACCTCACTCACACGACGAAACACAACGCAAGCGTTGCTTCACGTCGGTTTTCTGTAAGGCCGTGGTATTACTCCGGTCGAGCCGGCCCATTCGTGCCGAAGCATGGGTCTCCCACACTTAAGTGTTATAAGTTTAGTTTGGTACATTATTTTGGTCTATTTTCGCTTGAAAACTTTGAGAAACCTATTCAGACCCACCGCGTCGATCGCGCCACCTCCAGCTATTTGTAGTTGGTGCACAATTGTACGTCATACACTGCGCGTGTGTTACGCCCGAACTTTTATACATATTGAATCAACCGGCAATGTATGCACTACTACATGTTATTGTATTCTAGCTATTATCCGTGTAGTAGGGTTGTCCAGAGTTTGTTACCGTTTTGGTATTGAAAAAGAAAATTTTGGAAAAACCTTGCATTGCATGTTTTGATTACTCCAAATTGTTGGGTTCTGTATGTTTTGCTATGAATCATTTACATTCAGGTTTATGATAGTGACGTCATAAAAACGCGTATCAATTGAAGTTTATTTTCGTATTTAGAGCAATGGTATTATTTAACCGGAGACGGACGCTGGGGGGTCGTAAAGCTGTAAATAGGGTCACTTCTAAATTGTATTTTTTAGATAATTAATAACAATCCTCATTTTAGGGGTGTACTCGAATCCTACATGACGGCCACCAATACTGCGTGAGAGTGTAACAACTAGGAACAAGAATTCGAATCCTTGAATTTCAAATAAAAATGTATATTGATATTAGGATGGATATATCCTGAGAAGGTATGTATGGCGTGCCTTCTCAATTTAAAACACGTTTACTCATACCTAGTTCAATAATTAAAAACAACAAATCTACAGGGTGTAACTGTAAAGGGAACGCTCCTGAAATACGCCGACAGGTGATGGTAAAAAATAACTTTTATTTTCAGAAAAAAGTAAGGAATTAAATGTTTTTTATGTATATGTATATGATGTTGCATGAATAATACGAAAACAAAAACGATTCAGATTGTAAAAACAATTTCTTTATGTCAGCGTTCCGTTTCCACCCTGTAGATTTGTTGCACCTAACATTAAATTCGTCTATAAATCGTTGTTGACATAAAAGCACTGAAACAGTGAAACTAGGCGCAGGCGCAGTTTACACTGCATGAATCACGTACACTGGCGTGCATAAAGTGGACGCTAACCAGCAGTCGGTGCGCCAATAAACAGACCACGAACTGTATACAACTACACGTTGATATAAATACATTTTACACTTAAGTTCCTAAGTTATGACTGTTTTGTTGGTTTGTGGTTCCAATGGCTCCCCTAACCGAAGATAAGTGACAATTAACGTAATTTTTGTTTTTACCGACCTATACGTGACTCCTAACATAATAATAATACTTATTACCTAAAAAAGTACTCAAGTATACATCATAGTGTCGTAGTAGAAAATTAAAACTCTGACCTCTGTACTAGGGAAATACCTGTATCACAGAGATCAATAACTTTAAGTTAAGAGATGCTTTAGTTTAGAGGTAGTTGGTGAAAACTGCCATAGGTGTAGCAGGTGAACTAGTAGTTAAAAAATGCTGTTCTTGGTCAGGTCATATTGTAAGGTAATTTCAATTTACTAAAATACATACTTCATCATCCTCATAATCAAAAGCCTATAAGCCCACTACTGAGCAAAGCCTCTTCTCACACGGAGAAGGTTTGAGCATTAATCACCACGCATGCTCAATGCAGATTGGCGATTTGAAACTTATTATTAGAAGTTATAAGCCCAGGTTTCCTCACGATGTTTTCCTTCACCGTTTGTCAGTGGTGTCTAAATAATCTTAGAAAGTACATATAACTTGGAAAAAGTCTCATTGGTGCTTATCGTTGGTAGGTTTCGAACTTGCGCCTGCGTTTAAAACCTCGGGGCCACCACGACATATTAGGATACTTATCTCTGTATAAGAAGTATATTTCCGCCGGTGTACTAAAGGATCCTGTTTATCTTTAATCGCCTGATACCAAATAAGCGGTGCGTGTGGAACTTCAAAAGATTTACCAACCCACACCTAATACATGGCAAAGAGCAATAAAATCAGAAACAGAAAGGTATGGCTTGCAAAAGTATCGTATAATACTCGAGGACACTTAATAAGCTACACATCACCCAAATTAATTGCTTCAAAGTGATTTGATTTGATTAAACCCCAATGTAAACACATATTTGGAAAATATTGGCTTATAAAGCAAAAAAATATTGTAATATAACATAACATCACGCCTTTTATTCCCGAAGGGGCAGGCAGAGGTGCCCATTACGGCACTTAATGCCACCGTACAATGTACACCCACTTTTCATTATTTATGTTATGAGTCCCATGTAATACGGGGTGAGGCTATTGCCATATTATACCGGGCACAATTCCAGACTCCGTGCTACTACTGAGATTTTTTGAAAAAAGTCAGTAATACTTTGCGCGACCCGGGAAACGAACCCGAGGCCCCCTGCCCGGCAGTCGCAATCGCGACTACTCGGCCAACGCAGTCTTACAATAATTATTATATAATTTATATTTCATTGAAGTCTTTTCAGAGTTGACCAAGCTTTGATTAATTGGGTTATAACCACCTTTGCCTATCGTCCAACGAAATAAATATTTACACGGAAAACATATTGATCTTCAGATGATGCAGGCATGCGTATGCGCAGCTTGCCTTTGATGACGTATCACGTAAACATGGGCTCCCACGTGCGCATGTAAACCACATAAGTGTAATACTTTCTGTAAGTTGTGTAACTTTATATGAAATTTTTTATGTTATGCGCGTACGCAGCCTGAGGTCAACATAAAGTCACCTGTTCTGCTGGTGAAATAAAAAGCTCCTTTAGTAATTCTGAAGGGATTAACGTATTGAGTAATATAATGGGTGAAAAGTCGAGCACTTGACCAAATAACTATCATAAAAAAACAAAGTCCTGTAACCTGCAATATTAATTTGCCACTAGGATTGAACTAGATACATTCGATCTTATGGGTCATGACATAAGTGCTAAATCTCTTTACCTCTATTAAAAACAACAATGTTGTATGATATGAAATACAAGTCTTTTTGTTTACCAAGTGTAAATGTGTTCAGTAAAGTATGCGAATGTCGCGGCGCGTTGTCTGTTGGTCGGCCGGTGTTGTCGCCCGCGCAATTAATAGCTCGCCTCTCCTTCTTGTTGCTCACACGCCTCCCGAATACATGAGATGCTGCGCATGAGTCGCATCACAGCGATTGCTACCGTTTAAGAATACTTTATGACTGACACATACGGTTAACTGAATGTGGACTTAGTATAGACTTCTCTTAACAAAAAAGTTTTAATTATGTTTGTGTTACAAATATACTCAGAAACTACTGCACTGATTATGAAAATTTGTTCACATGGTACAGCTACGATTTTATTTAACGTCGGCGCGTAGAAATGCCTGTTTTAAATTCATTGTCTTTATGTCCCAGTTATAAGATTACTGGTTAATGAATGCTAGATTTTA